TTGGAAGCCAGGACGGCCAAACTTCATCTCTCCTACTTCAGACATACTGTCAGGAGGGACCAGCAGCTGGAGATGGATATCATGTTTGGTAAGGCCAGAGAAAAAGAAAAAGAGGAAGACTCCCAGCGAGATGGACTGGCAAAGTGGCAGCATCAATGGGTAATAATTGTGAGGTTGGCCGAGGATCTGGCAGTGTTTCATTCTGTTGTGCATACAGTCTCTGTGTCCGTACCAACACGCTGGCACCTAACAACAACAACAACAACTGTAGGTATATTTTGTTTAAATTTTTTCTGAGGCAAATATAGCAAAATGTTAGTTAGCACTGCCATATGTTAGACTGTATTGTGAGAAAATAAACTTCTGCATATTAAGACCACCGATTTGTATTATTTCTGTTATAGCATCACTAGACAGCTATGACATAGGTCTTCTAAGTGATAGCAGTTGGGGTAATTGAGGTTTTATTACAATTATTTATACTATGTATGTTTATGATGTTTTATAGCTCCTCTCATTAATAAAATGGCAGTAATGAAATCAATTGTCAAATTCCTCCCATTGACAGTAAAACTAGACCTTGTTATCTAAACTCAGCTTCTTCAAAGACTGTGATCATCTGAGCAATTACAGTAGATGTCACTATCATACCACTGAGAGCTCTGGGTTACCAAGGGACTTCAAGAAATCATTTTCTCATCTGGAAACAATACAGTTCTCTACCTACTTCACTGACCTTTCATCAGAAGCAAATGAAACACATTTTCAATAAAACGATGGCCCAGAATGCCTCAAAAATTATACAGTTCTCTATCTTTTAGCTGGAACTTTTTCTAGCACGTTTGGAAATTAGGAGAGAAGGAAAAAGTGCCTTCTACATTGTTTTGACTCTAAAGGCCAGGCTTTTTCTATTGCACCACACTAGTAGAAGACAATGTTGCGCACCCAAACCCGGCAAAGCTCTTCTGGTTTAAGAGATCCTACGTAACTATGAGCCCCCTTGCCGTAAGTTTGGTTCCAAGCTCAAAGCACCTTCAATGCCCAACAAAGCTTTGGAGTCTAAGCTTCCTTTCCCTCTTCTTTTCAGACAGGTTCATCACTATTTCTAGAACAGCACAATCCAACATCCCAAACTGTGCTATATTCTAGAAGTAACAAACAGAAAGCCAAAAATGTAAAAAAGAATGTGATTCAAGGGACCTGCAAAATCATAAAGAACACAAACTCTGATGTCTCATTAACACTCAAAACTCTGACTTACAAATGTCCTTGTCTGTAAATATCCTTATCTGTAAAGTAAGAATACTGTAAAGCTCTTCAGGGTTGTTGGAAGGAAAAATGAAGACAGAGCTTCCCCTTCCCACACTGCCCCATTCCTGGAGGTGACCTTAACTGATGTCCCAACTCATCCTACTCTCCCTTCATACTGCCTCCATGGCTCTTCCCAGTGCTCCAGAAACCACCTGTT